CGACTCTGTTGTTAACTGCCGTTGAGTCAATGCTGACTCATAGCAACCCTGTCTAGGGTTCCCAAGGAGCAGCTGATGGGTTTGAACTGCCCACCATTTGGTCACAGACCTGTGCTGATCCCACAGTGTCATACCAGCCTAGATTCCATTTAAATCATATGCCACTTTTACTCAGAATTTACATAAGCATTGGTTTCTAAAGCGAATAACTTCTATTTCTGTGGATATTGTCCACCTCCTAACAGAAATTCTATTTCCTTAGATTCTTTCAAAAAGACCTTCAGTTGAACCCCCTGATCTTCTTAATTACTTCTTCCTGCTCTTTGACATCCTAAGGGACAGATAGATAGTCATTAGCAGTGCACACACCCATATAACACACAGAGCACACTTAGGAAACTAAAGCATGGGGGTGGTTTCAAAGCTCTCAAACAAAAGCACATGTAACAAGCACGCTATTTGGGTAAAAACATGGTAGTTCACACAAATGTGATGTCTCACCAAATTCTGCTGAAGATCATTTTACCATGTTTCCTAGTTTTCACACACTGTACAAGTTAGGGCTCTCAGGAGTCCATATGTACAGTGGTTTTGAAATTTGGTGCCTAAAACCTTGTTTATTACTAAGTAACTTTTGACAGCTAGACTCCCCTCAAAACTTAACGAGGCCTCAAGAATACATTTCTCAATCCTGGTTTTCAAAGAGCTCTGTGGCCCTTATTTTTCCTTCTTTCCCAAAGCTCCCCTTAAACTGATGGATATTAATACATGGGGAAGAAGAGTCAAGTGGCCAACTGAACCCAATATTAGGAGCTTCATTTTCCTCCCTTTATTCTTTTCTCAGACTCTTAATAAAATTTCTCCAACTTGGCCACTGGTTTCAGAAGTTGAGTAGTCATTAAAAACTTGACTTGTTGCTCTTTATTTTCTCTCTTCCCTTTCCTTTCTCCCTATTTTAAGTCAACTCCACCAGTGCTACTGTCTAGCAAGGAAGTGCGCAAAAACATGTCATAACCCCATGAGCCAAATGATTCTCTAAACATCCAATTTGCAAATAACTAGAATTAGAAGGGCTCTGTTCCTCATGAGAATTACACAATATTGCTCTCACTAACCCCATTTTTATTTTTATAAACCTCAAAGATTTTGAAAGGATTCCCATCAAGTTCTTTTCCAAAAATACAGCAAAAATATAGCTGCCTTCTACATGAAGATACATCAGCTTGCGAATCTCGTGAAGCCCACAATGTATGCCTCTGTATTTCACTTCTTAATCATGAAGGGTGTGCCACTTTCACACTGCCCTTATGTATGTTGGCACCCCCCTCTCAGGTTCCCACAGGTCTTCACACGTAAATACTGGTTCTCTTTACGGAGTTAGAATTATTTATATTCTCGTCTTGCCACTGTGCCTTATTCATCATGCGTACATGCTCAGCAAATCTTTTATTCTTTACGATGGATGAATGGAAACACATGACTTTATTCCTTGGAAGGCTAAAGAATTCCTTCACCTGCATTCCGTTAGCTTCAGGGTACTGGCGTCCAAGTCATTAACTAAAGAGTATTAGTCACAATGCCATTTCTCTTGCCTTGTTTCTTTGCACTCAGTTGTTAACCAAAAGGTTGGTGGTTCGAAACTGGGAGGAAGACCTGCCAATCTGTTCCTGTGCAGATGACAGACTAGAAACCTCTAGGGGACCGTTCTATCTTGTCACATCAGGCCTAAAATAATACACTGTTTTCCCAAACCTTACATATCAACAAGCATCGCCTTTGAATTTGCGAATTGGCTCTCCAATAACATTTATTGTTTATAGCAGCCATCAAACTGGTTTATCATACTCAGCTTTTTAATTATTGGTCAAATATTCACATTAAAAGACGCCAACCTTGCTGTTACTTGAGAAGGCTATTCAAGGACAGAATCCTGGGCTTGCTTTCCCAGTCTCAGCTGGCAACCCTATTTTGTTAATCTTTGGCAGTTGGTTATTTCAGCAGCTACAGTCCTTCTAGCTAATAGTTTCTTAATGAATATAATTCGTTTTCTTCCATCTGAAAACTATCAGGCACTGGGGATTCCTTACCTTTCTTTCAGGTCAGTAAGCTGACCCCAGGGACTTACATGTTTATTTCTTTGTGAGATAAAACTGGTTATCTGCCATGAAAACTAGAGAGATGCTATTTCAGGGTTTCCTGTTATTTATTGGTGACTCACTGTTCTCCAGGTTAGCAAATGTCAATGTTTTTACCTGGAAACAATCAAATATAAATTATCCTGTATTATGGAGTGCCGAGTAATTATTGTGCTTCAGAAAAGGAGCTAAAAAAATGAGATCCTATTTCAAACTCAACAGCCGCTTCTCGGAAACCCTCTACCAAGGTCACTGTGAGTCGGAACCAACTCGACAGCACTTAACAACGTACAACAATGTTAAATGTTACTGTAGTTTATTTGTATATTAATTCTTTTGGCTCATTTTTCTTTAACCCCAGTAGAGTTATCTTTTTTAAAAAAGAAACAAAACTTTTTATTAGGAAAGTTTCAAATATCTGCCCAAGTAGAGAGAATAGTATAATGAATTCTTATGTGTAGCTCGTCTATCTTCATCAGTTACCAACATACAGCTACTCAAATAGCATCTACATCCCTGCCCCCTCGTGATTTGTTCCAGTTAAGGATTTTGAGGATCCCTGGTGGTACAGTGGTTAAGCATTCGGCTCATAACTAAGAGGTTGTCTGATAAACAAAAGGTTGGCCTTTTGAATCCACTAATGACCCCATAATGGAAAAGACTAGGCTATCTGCTCCCGGAAAGGTTATATCCTAGGAAACCCTATGGGGCAGTTTTACTCTGTCATAGGGGTATGAAACAGCATCAAGTCTGCATACAACCAGGGGCCACACTTGTAATCAGGGCTACAAACCAGTTTACTGTATTTGACCGCCAGCTGAGAATTTGCCTTTTCATCCCAGATATACTAAAATCACAATCCACATTTTTCACCAGAGATTCTAATTTTGTGTATCCTGGGTGGAAAGGCAAATTCTCAGCAGAGGGTCAAACTGGACTGAACCAACTCGAAGTCCTAATGATAAGAAACTTACAAAGGTGAAATCCAATTTCTAAAAACACGTTTTGTGGCAACTTCTCTCCCACACCATTGATGCAGACAAATTTAATAAAAGTAAGTGGTTTGAAACTACCAGCTATTCCACAGTACAGGAATAAAGATGAGGCTTTCTGTTCCTGTAAAGATTTACAGCCTCAGAAACCCTGTACAGGGTCACTATGAGTCGGAACCGACTCCATGGCACATAACCACCACCACCACCACCAAAGGTGTGTTAATCCTACTGGGGGTATGGAGGATGCTCACACCCTCCTTGAACTTTGGAGCTTCTTCCCTGGAATAGTCTTTGGTAAGGAGAGATGAGGTTAAGGACTAAAATCATCTTTACCTCTGGTACTTCTGATGAGAACTCTCTGGGTAGGTTCAAGAGGAAGGGCAGTATTTCTTATTTTCTTAACTTCAGCAAAGTAGTACAGTTCATCTTATTTGGTTTTGAAGATGATACGATTGTACAGGCTTCACCATGATCTAGTAATGCCGGAACACCAGGATCTAATGTAGTCGGAACAGCCACTGGAAGAAAAGTCTTCCCTAAGAATCGTGTTCTAAATGAAATGCTGCCCCCATTAAACTCAGCCCAGAGTTACTGTATTTGCTAATATACAGCAATTCTCCACTTACCAAAGTGAAGATTCTCTCTAAAAAGAATGTTATTGTTGTTGTTTAGTGCTGTCAAGTCAATTCTGACTCAGCAACCCTGTATAGGGTTTCTAAGGAGCGACTAGTGAGCTCGAACCGCCGGCCTTACAGTTCAAACCAATCTGACAGTCTAGTGCTTATATGCTACAGCGACACACCAGGAATTCAAAAAGTGTGTTAATCAACAAACTTTTGAGGATGTGAAAAGAAAATTAAGTTTCTGCTTAAGTAATTTGTTTTTATTTTTAAATCACATTGAAACAGTATTTCATTTACAGATATTATCCTTTTCCACTCAGATTTCAGGAAACAATTTTATCCCAACTCTTTCACACATCCTTGACAGGAAAGCCTTTGATATATGACCAGAGTAACTTTTGAAGTCACCTGACAATTTTCTAGGATATATCTTTTTTGTTCCTAAGTAAATTGAGGTCCAATATATTTGTCACCAAAACTTTCAGGACAATGAAATTTTAGGCAAGACCATAAATATTACATGTATCTGTCTATTGAACAATTTTCTTAATCCTTTAGATATATACGGAGTTCTGGTGTGGTGCAGTGAACACACTGGATTCAAGTTTGGTTTGAACTGCATGGTCGTCAATTCAAGCTCACCAGCTGCTCCTTGGAAACCCTATACAGGGTCACTATGGCAAACCAAACTCGATAGCACTAAACAACAACATTGATATATACAAGAGCCTGGGTGGTGCTGTAGGGTAAGCTAGCCACAAAGTCAGCAGTTCAGACCCACCAGCCACTCCATGGGAGAAAGATGAGGCTTTCGGCTCTCGTCAACATTTATAGCCTTGGAAACCTTGTACATGGTCACTGTGAGTGGCAATTGACTTGATGGCATTACAGCCTATCCACTTTATTGCTTTATAAAGTGTTTTTTAAATGTCTCGTCTGCTAAAGATTAGTTCTGTCTCCTGGACTGAGAGTTGACTGAAATTGTTTCACACTTACATGTCCTCCCCAAACTAGCTTGTTTGAAATAAAGTACTATTTTGAAGTGTTATTACAAGCCTAGAGAACACTTGTAATTAGAATTTTTTGGGTGTGTGTGTGTGTGTATGTGTGTAGGGGTGGGGCGGGATGTCTCACCTGAATTCACACCACTAGCTGACTCCAGAGAATGGCTATTTAAGTCCTGTTAACTTTGCCTGTCCCTCAAGACCACCCAAACTCAGACCTTTCTGGTGTTTCTGTCTCTGTAGATCAGATCCCACCCCCAGTTTGGCGATCTCTGCCAGAGGACCACTGCTGCATCGTGCTGCCCCAGCTGGACGCTGGGAAATTATATCGCCATTCTGCACAACAGATCGTCCTGTCAGAAGATCATTGAGCGGGACGTTACCCACACCCTGAAGCTGCTTCGGACCTGCGCCAAACACTACCAGAATGGCACGCTGGGGCCAGACTGCTGGGACATGGTGGCTAGAAGAAAGGATCAGCTCAAGTGCACCAATGTGCCTCGGAAATGTACCAAGTACAACGCCGTGTACCAGATCCTCCATTACTTGGTGGATAAGGACTTCATGAGCCCAAAGATGGCCGAGTACACCACGCCAGCTTTAAAGTACAGCATGCTCTTCTCACCCACAGAGAAAGGGGAGAGCATGATGAACATCTACTTGGACAACTTCGAAAACTGGAACTCTTCGGATGGCGTCACCACTGTCACCGGGATTGAGTTCGGTATCAAACACAATTTGTTTCAAGATTATCTGCTCATGGATACTGTGTATCCTGCCATAGCCATTGTGATCGTCCTTCTAGTCATGTGCGTCTACACTAAATCCATGTTCATCACGCTGATGACAATGTTCGCCATCATTAGTTCCTTGATCGTTTCCTATTTTCTCTATCGCGTTGTATTTAACTTTGAGTTTTTTCCCTTCATGAACCTCACTGCGCTCATTATTTTGGTGGGAATCGGAGCAGATGATGCTTTTGTCCTGTGTGACGTTTGGAACTACACCAAATGTGACAAGCCTCACGCCGAAACTTGGGAGACCGTCAGCATCACGTTGCAGCACGCTGCGCTCTCCATGTTTGTCACCAGTTTCACCACCGCAGCGGCCTTCTATGCTAACTATGTTAGCAACATTACAGCAATCCGATGCTTTGGGGTTTACGCAGGCACGGCTATCTTAGTGAATTATGTCTTGATGGTCACCTGGCTTCCAGCAGTTGTGGTCCTCCATGAACGATATCTCCTCCATATATTCAGTTGCTTCAAAAAGCCCCAGCAGCAGATATATGATCACAAGAGCTGCTGGACAGTGGCTTGTCAGAAGTGCTACAAAGTACTTTTTGCCATCTCCGAAGCATCGCGAATCTTTTTTGAGAAAGTACTGCCATGCATTGTCATTAAGTTTCGCTACCTTTGGCTGTTGTGGTTCTTGGCGTTAACTGTAGGCGGGGCCTACATTGTCTGTATAAACCCAAAGATGAAGCTTCCCTCCCTGGAGTTATCCGAGTTCCAGGTGTTCCAGGCATCTCACCCTTTCGAGCGGTATGATGCCGAGTACAAAAAGCTGTTCATGTTTGAGCGTGTTCACCATGGAGAGGAGCTCCATATGCCCATCACAGTCATCTGGGGGGTGACCCCCGAGGACAATGGTAATCCACTAAATCCCAAGAATAAAGGGAAGCTGACTCTAGACAGCAGTTTTAACATTGCCAGCCCAGCTTCCCAGGTCTGGATTCTGCATTTCTGTCAGAAGCTGAGAAATCAGACGTTCTTTTACCAGACTGATGAACAAGATTTCACCAGCTGCTTCATTGAGACATTCAAGCAGTGGATGGAAAACCAAGACTGTGACGAGCACCCGTGCTGCAGCCAGTGGACATTTCCCTACAAACAAGAGATCTTTGAGCTGTGCATCAAGAGAGCCATCATGGAGCTGGAGAGAAGCACTGGCTACCACTTAGATAGCAAAACCCCGGGACCACGATTTGACATCAATGACACTCTCAGGGCAGTCGTGCTAGAGTTCCAAAGTACCTACCTCTTCACTCTGGCATATGAAAAGATGCATCAGTTTTATAAGGAGGTAGACGCATGGATTTCAGATGAGCTGAGCTCTGCTCCGGAAGGCCTCAGCAATGGTTGGTTTGTCAGCAATCTGGAGTTCTATGACCTTCAGGATAGCCTCTCCGACGGCACGCTCATTGCCATGGGGCTCTCAGTTGCTGTTGCGTTTAGTGTGATGCTCCTTACCACTTGGAACATCATAATAAGCCTTTATGCCATCGTTTCAATAGCTGGAACCATCTTTGTTACGGTGGGGTCTCTTGTCTTGCTGGGCTGGGAACTCAATGTTTTGGAGTCTGTCACCATTTCAGTTGCAGTTGGCTTGTCTGTAGACTTTGCAGTCCACTATGGGGTTGCTTACCGTTTAGCTCCAGACCCTGACCGCGAAGGAAAGGTGGTCTTCTCTCTGAGTCGCATGGGTTCTGCCATTGCAATGGCCGCTCTGACCACCTTCGTGGCGGGGGCCATGATGATGCCCTCCACAGTGCTGGCGTACACCCAGCTGGGCACCTTCATGATGCTGATCATGTGCATCAGCTGGGCGTTCGCTACCTTCTTTTTCCAGTGTATGTGCCGGTGCCTTGGGCCACAGGGGACCTGTGGTCAGATTCCGTTACCCAAAAAACTACAGTGCAGTGCCTTTTCCCATGCCTTGTCTACAAGTCCTGGTGACAAGGGACAAAGCAAAACACAGACCGTGAACGCGTATCATTTAGATCCCAGGGGCCAGAACTCCGAAGTGGAGCATGAATTTTATGAATTGGAGCCTCTGGCGTCCCACAGCTGTAAAGTCTCTGAGAAGACCACTTACGAAGAGAGTCACATCTGCTCTGAATTCTTCAACAGCCCAGCAAAGCGTTTAGGGCTGCCGGTGCAGGAAGCTTACCACAGCGAGCTCAGCCACAACACCAAAAACGACCCAAGCTCTGCCTTGTCCCAGCCCCCTCTTGCGCAGCGCACTGTGTGCCAATTGTTCTCTCTGAATCGGGGCTGTAGCTGCCCCTGTACCTACACACATCTGAAGTACAGCCCGCCCTCCTGCCAGCAGTTGGGTGACTGCTTGTGCCACCAGTGTGCCCCTTCTCCTGGCAACTTTGTCCAGATCCAGAAGAGTATGGCACCGCTGAAGGTGGCACATCATGTCCCCGACAGCTTTGTGCACCCCGCCCCACACGCCCACCACTGCCCCTGCCTACAGGGAAGAGGGAAGCCACCTGGGATGCAGAACTCTCTGCCGCGGGAGTTTTTGCTTCACCCAGTACAGCACATTCAAGCCCAAGAAAATCCTGGGCAGGCCGGTGTACACAACCTTCAGGGCTTAGAAGAGCATCTTCCAAAGGTGGTGGAGCCATTGTCATTTGCCTGCAGAAGCATGGGGTCTTTCCGGAAAGCCTTTGGTGATGCTGAGACCAGCCAGAGGGGGCTCTGTGAAAGCAGAGACACTGAGAACATGGAGGGCAGCAGAGGAACTGAAAACAAGGATTCTAGTTTAGTGCATCAGACTAACAACGCCCAGAGGAAGGTGGAATTGAGCTTGTCACAGACTGATGTCACTGCGAATTCAGAGCATCTAAATCAGAACGAACCAAGATTTCTATTGAACCACTTCATGGGAGAGCCTGGGTGTGTGTCCTGCCCAAACAATCCACAAAATTGTGGCAGAATTGTGAGAGTGAAGTGCAATTCTGTAGACTGCCAGATGCCAAACATAGATGCCAATGTGCCTGCTGTATTAACACACTCGGAACTTTCTGGTGAAAGTTTGTTAATAAAAACACTTTAATAAATATATCGTTAAACTCAGAACCAATGCCTCAGTCAGTCTTTTAAAATGAAAGGAAATCCAGAACTTGAGCAAGTGTGCCCAAAATACAGCCACCACCCCCCCCCCAAACACTTGTTAAAATTATGGAATATAGAGTAAACTTTAATGAACAAATCCACAAATCTAATGAGTGTTGAAGATTGCTGGACTTTTTTTTTTTTTTTTTTTTTTTTTAAAGTAGGGTTGTTTTAGAAACTCTGGTGGAGTAGTGAGTTGGGCTCATTAACCCCAATGTTGCGTTGGGCTGTTAAGCCCAATGCAAGGTCAGCAGTTCATATCCACTAGCTGCTCAATGAGAGAAAGAAGAGGCTTTGTGCTCCTGTAAAGATTTACAGAGATGCTGTGAGTCAGAACCAAGTCAAGAGCACACAACAAAAACAACACAGTTGTTTTATATGTTTATAACCAGTTTGAAAAAGTATTCTCTCACTCCCCTCCCACAGTAGTGAATCCAAGATTTCGAGCTTAAATTACCTAGAAGTTTCTGTTGGCCCAGACAGTCATAGTTACCGATTATCTTCATTTCAGCACATTGGATTGGCAGTGCTCAGGACTATTGAGCGCTCAACATAAATACTAAGAACTGACCTCATTTTAATAGAACCACTTCAGTTGAGATTCAGCCTTACAAGAAGTAAGCATTAAGATTTTATATTTTTGGTGAGGCTTTGTTTGAAAACAAACTGGCAGACGTTTTAATAGGGTATTCCACCTGTCTGCAGAAGTAGACTTACATGAGGCTATTGATGCATTTTTATCCAAATTGGTCATTTCCACGTTAGGAGAGATTTGCATGTGTTCTGTTATTACATTGGCTAACCCTGGAGTTCTGGGTCTCACCTTGAGTCAGGTGACAGTGATGATAATACCACAGAGGAACAAGCCTGGGTAAAGAGGTTCATTACCCAATGGTGTGCTAAACTGTGATAATAAATTGCACATGGACAAAGATGGATCCTGTTCATATACACCCTACTCCCTTGAAGCTTTCAATGGAAAGAAAGTCTTCTATGAAAAGTTTTGCTTTCATCTCTTCCCCTAAGGAGACAAGTTCAGATGGCTGTGTTCTACTTTGGTAAGCTAAAAACAGTGTCTCAAAACATGTAAGGCTGATTTTATTGTGCAGCTAACACCTGGAAATGCTGAGCCTTCAGGCAGCATCTTAAATGACACTCGTGTACCTTGTGTTAGATCAGTCTGCAATAATTGAGTTGTTGCAGCCTGCTTTCTGGGTAATTCTTGTAACAGCATGTCATCTGATACTAAGTGCATTACAGCCTCATACAGAGAGAGTCCCGCTGCCTCCTCCTGGCCTTTGTGACCCTGCCTTAAATGTGGCCCTCAGAAAAAAAACTGGAAGAAACATTTCCAAATGCAGTGTTCTTTAGAAAGTTTACCTATGTTCTGTGAATTGTTTTCCCAATTAGATCTTCATATTATTCTAGGGCCTGAACAAAGCTATCTAGAGTTGGACAGGATCTCTAGGGTCATTGAATCCAACCTGTCAAACCACATTTTTAGTAAGTAGCTTTCCAACTTTTGCTTGATGCTTTTGTGACAAGCAACTCACTGGGTATCTGCCCTGACTGAATGAAAATTCAGTCCTGTAGTTTTTCTACCAGCTGGTCCTCATTCTGTTGGCTGAAGTGTAAACAAATCTCTGATCCTTCTCCCACATGGTAGCCCTGCAGATACTTGAAAACATAGTTATTACGTTCTTACACTAATATCCCTGGAAGTGCTGTGGCTCTATAGGATAAGCACTGAACTGCTAACCATATGGCTGGCAGTTCGAGTCACTAGCTACTCCATACGAGAAAGAGGAGGCTTTCTGCTGCAAAGATTTACAAGCCTCAGAAGCTCTATGTTGTTGTTAAGTACAATTGAGTCAGTTTTGACTCATGGCAAGCCTGTAAAGGGTTTTCAGGAGCAGCTGGTGGATTTGAACCGCTGCCCTTGCAGTCCAGTGCATTATCTTACGGCGCCACACCAGGACTTTATGTTGTTTTAGATAGTCTGACTCAGTGACCCAGTGCTGTCCTCACAGTCGTTAATCTTGACCTTGTTGCAGTTGCCACTGTGTCATTCCATCTCCATGAGGGTCTTCCTCTTTTTCATTGACCCTCCACTTTACCAAGTATTATGTCCTTCTCCAGGGACTGGTCCCTGCTGATAACATATCCAAAGAATGACAGATGAAGTCTCGTCATCCTTGTTTTCAGGAACATCCTGGCTGTACTTCTTCCAATAGATTTGCTTGTT